CCCGTCTACAGCGCCCACTCGTGCAGACAGAACGCTGGAGTGTCCCGTCTACAGCGCCCACTCGTGCAGACAGAACGCTGGCTGGAGTGTCCCGTCTACAGCGTCCACTCGTGCAGACAGAACGCTGGAGTGTCCCGTCTACAGCGCCCACTCCTGCAGACAGAACGCTGGAGTGTCCCGTCTACAGCGCCCACTCGTGAAGACAGAACGCTGGAGTGTCCCGTCTACAGCGCCCACTCGTGCAGACAGAACGCTGAAGTGTCCCGTCTACAGCGCCCACTCCTACAGACAGAACGCTGGAGTGTCCCGTCTACAGCAGCATAGGAGAGAGCTGAGAAATAGTCAAGGGCGAGAACAGAGACACGGGGGAAAAGCTGGGCAGCTGCCTTGTTAGTGACTTTTGAGGTGTCACAGTCCCAGCCCCCTAAAAATTTCCAGTTCTTACACTCCTCCAAAAGATTAGTAAGATAAAAAGAAAATCAGTTCTTTACATTTCAGTCCCTATTTTTAAAAGACATATTATTCTTTTCTAAAATATTTGTGCGTGCGTGGGAGCAGGGGTACTCTACGCACATGTGAGCATAAGTGTTCACAGGGTCCAAAAGGTGGTGTTGGATTCCACGGAATTTGTGAACCACTAGGTGTAGGTGCTTGGAACCAAACTTGGGTCCTTTGCAAGAACTCTATGCACTCTTAACTGCTGAGTCAGCTCTCAAAAGTATACTGAAAAGAAAATCCAATTAGTAACTGTACATTTATTGTCTGTAGAAGATATTCTAGTCAAGGTAATACACCAAGCATGACTAATGTGTGATTGGGCCAAAACGTGTCATGTTCTGAGCAAGTAATATAATTCAGCAGAGATTAGTGGTACCCAAAAGCCTCCCCACAGCGGGGTGTGGCCGTACACACCTGTAACCCCCACACTGGGGAGGCAGAGGCAGGGGCATCACTGCAGGTCGGAGGCTAACCTGGTCTGTAGCCAATTTCAAACTATCTAGGCTCTATAGCAAGACCTGGTCTCTGGTGGTGCACACATTTAATCCCAGTACACAGGAGGCAGAGGCATGGGGATCTCTGAGTTTAAAGTCAGCCTGGCCTACAGAGCAATCCCAGAACAGCCAGGACGACACGGAGAGCACAGAGAAAGCCTATCTTGGAAAAAAAAAAAAAAGAAAAGAAAAGAAAAAGAGAAAAAAGAAAGAAAGAAAGAAAGGAAAGAAGAAAGGAAGGGAGGGAGGGAGGGAGGGAGGGAGGAAGGAAAGAAAAAAAAGCGGCATTTAATCAAAGTCTTGAAAGAGACAGGAAGTAGACAGTCTCAGCACAGGGAGTGAGTGTAGCACCAGTACAAACCCAGGGGGCAGGAGCTGAGACGCGGCAATGCTGAATCAGGCAGCCAGGAAGCCTGCAGGACTGGAACAGAGAGCGGCTGTGATTGAACTGTGAATATCTGACCTCCCTTCACAGCTCTGCACTTGATTCCAAGCCCCACCCCCATAACTCCTCCCTAGATACTGTTCTGTTGCTGTGATGAAACACCTTGACGAAGGCAACTTTTAAAAGTGAACATTTCATGGGGGTCTTACTTACCGTTTCAGAGAGTTAGTCCATGATCATCATGGTGCGGGATGTGGGATGCAGGCAGACATGGTGCTGGGGCAGTACCTGAGAGCTCACATCTGATCTGTAAATTGGGAGCAGAGAAAGAGCGGGACTGGACCTGGCGTGGGCTTTGAAACCTCCAAGGCCACCCCCACTGACACACCTCCTCCAACAAGGCCACACCTCCT